ATTCATAGTCGACTTTTAAAAGAATAACCGTTAATTTGTAAATCGTTGAATGGAAAGCAAAAAATCGTCAGCTAAAACAGCTTCTTGCTAACTTTCTGCTTAGTTTTGAATGTAAATACAATGCGCTTTGTTTCTGCCCGCAACTTTTTGGTCAGCGACGACAAATTTCCCACCTGTTCCTTTTCGGTATTAAGAAGGATAAACATAGGTGTACGGAAGGGGAATTGAAGGAAATTTTCCAGGCAATTTGTCCGAGGGAGGGGGGAGACAAAATTTTCAAGACTTAATATGAAGACTTAGAATAACGAAATATAAAAAAGGTCACACGTCTTTAAATACAGTCTGGCGGTAATGAGAATCAAAAAAAATATATTTTATGTGGCCTACTGTAAGCTTTCCTTTCATAATTTGCCCGATTTTTAAGCGGAACTGCCAGGATTTTAAATAGAATCTGCCAGACAAAAAAATATTGGGGGGTTGGGGGAAACCCCAGTGGTGCGCCTATGAGAATACGTTAACAGGCCGTAGTCGGCAATTTATACGAATTACACCTATTCTGCATTTTATACTTGGTCTGCTAGCATTTGCTGCAATCTGCGATCTGCAAATATACTGATATTCTTAGCCTTTGGTAAAGTATGCGAACGGTTAGCAGTTATCACAGATAAATAAATATAAAAATAAATACAAATATAATATTAAAACCAAACCCTTATTAACTTTAATCATGAGTATAACATGCATTCTGGCACTTACTTATCTTCGCCTACTTCAACTTTCCGTTCTTTCCTATAGACTTCATCTAACCCTCATTTTAGTATATCAGAATAATCCCGACCCCCCGTGCACCCCACTTCGAACCTATTTTCTAACCTGGGTATTGAGGAAAGAAAGCTATAGATCGCAGCAACTGCCAGCGGACCAATTATAAAATACAGAATAGGTGTAATTCGTGTAAATTGCTGACTACGCCTGTTAATTTATTCTCATAGGCGTACGAATGAGGTTTGCCCTCCCCCCCAATATCTTTTGTCGGGAAGATTCTACAAAAAGTCTTGGCAGTTCGGCTTAAAAATCGAGCAAATGATGAATAGAAAGTGTTATAACCACGCAGTCTGTGTCTCAGTACACGACGCACAAACCTCCGAAGGATTCTGGGATACTACACTCCTCCCTTCCCAGTGTGCAATAATCTGAACTACTCTGATACTAGCATGATAGTCATGGACTGGCTTTTTGTTGTGATTGTTTTTCCCTTACCCGATCTCCAAGGTTTGGCTGTATCAGGTCCAACTGAGTACGCAGGTGTCTGCCCATCAACGGCTCCGCTGGCTGCACGCCCGTTGTCGTATGGGGTGTAATACGGTATTTAAGAAGGAATCGTGATAGTTTTGTTCTCATACTTCCTTCCTTCATCTTCTCAATGCCTTCTTTAAAAATTCACACTGCACGCCTCTGCTTGCACATGTTATGCTGGGTGGTATGGTGAAACATTGATGTGTTCATAAATTCTTCGAATTCACTGCTTGTGAAATTTGTTCCATTGTCCCCGACAACTGTTGCTGGTAGCCCATGTGTGGCAAAAATCTCGCGTAGTTTCTCAATGGTTTCTGTAGACGTAGTGGATGTCATCTGGTGAACTTCTAGCCACTTAGAATATGCATCAACTACTACCAGAAACATTTCAACTTTGAATGGTCCTGCATAATCAATATGAAGGCGTGTCCAGGGATGTCCTGACCTCTCCCAAGGATGGAGTGGTGCAGCTGCTGGAGTTGTATGATGCAGTTGACACTGATCGCAATTCTTTACTTCCCTCTCAATATCTTCGTCAAGAGTTGGCCACCATACACAGCTTCTTGCAAGGGCTTTCATGCGTGAAACCCCTCGATGTGCTTCATGCAGCTCTGTTAAGATCTTTAATTGTCCTGGGGGAAGGACGATAACTCTCGTACCCCAGAGTAAACAACCATCCTCCACACTTAACTCCAACTTTTTGTTATGGTAAGATTTAAATGTTGTGGAATCGTAGGACTCTGGCTAACCTTAGCTTGCATTGTGAAATGAAGGACTTTTGACATAACTGGATCCCGTTTGGTCCACTCTCTTATCTGCAAGTTGCTGTTGACTGGTGTTTCTTCCAAATGTTCTATCAGGCGGATTGTTTCACCTGGCTGTGGCGTTGACAGTGGCATCTTTGGTAGGGGTAGTCTACTCAATGCATCTGCGTTCCTATTGTTTTTCTCGGCTTTATATTGTATCTTGTACTCGTATGCTGCTAGTGCGAGGGCCCATCGTTGAATTTGTGGTGTTGCCTGAGTGGGGACTCTTTTTGTGTCGTTGAGTAACCCTTCTAATGGCCTATGGTCTGTTTTGATTGTAAATGTCTGCCAGTAAAGAAATTTGTGAAACTTTTTAACGCCGAAAATCGTGGCCAATGCTTCCTTTTCAATCGTCGAATAATTTCTCTCGGCTGCGCTTAAAGACCTTGAGACATACGCTATCGGTTTTTCTGTCCCATCAGGAAATACATGCGACAAAACGGCCCAAACTCCGTAATTCGATCCATCAGTCGCTAAGATTAACGGCTTGGTCGGATCAAAATGGACGAGTAAGTCAGCTGACTGTAGGAGCTCTTTTGCATAGTCAAATGCCCCCTTCTGCGCTTCTCCCCACTCCCACTTGGTTTCCTGTCGTAGTAATCTGTGCAGTGGCTCTAAGGCTGTTGCCACATTTGGTAAGAGTCTATGATAGTAGTCTAGCATTCCAAGAAATGATCGTAATTGGTCAATGTTCTCAGGCTCCTGTGCTTTTACGATGGCTTCAATTTTTTCGACCACCGGATGGATTCCGTCCTTGTTTATCCCATAGCCACAATATGTCACGTCTGATGCCATGAATCAACATTTGACTTTCTTCAATATTAGGCCCGCTCCAGATAGTCGCGTCAATACTGCATTGAAATTGAAAAGGTGATCTGCATCGTCTTTACCGCCTACCAAAATATCATCGACTCGCACAATGACACTAGGAATACCTTGAAGTAAGTTCTCTAGTGTTCGCTGGGATATACCTGTTGCTGAGGATATGCCAAAAGGTAAGCGATTATATTGGTAAAGTCCCTTGTGGTGTTCTTTTTGGACTCCTCGTCTAGCATCAACTGTTGGCAGGCTTATGACATATCCAACTTAGTGAATTTTTGGCTTCCACTAAGGGTTGTAAGCAGATCCTCCTTCTTCGATATTGGGTAGTTGTCTTGTTTCGAAGCTTGGTTAATTGTTGCTTTGTAATCACCACATATGCGGACCGATCCATCTGGTTTGGCTACTCTCGCTATTGGTGAAGCCCAATCTGAAAATTCAACCGGAGATATGATTCCCTCTCGCTGTAGCCTCTCTAATTTTTGATCCCAGTGGAATTTTCATAGCAAAAGGAACTTGCCGAGCCTTACAAATTTGAGTTGTGCATCTTGATTTGCATAGATTGTTGCTGTTGTTCCTTAATTACAAAGTACCTAATTCGTCGGTAAAAACCTCTTTGTGGGTCTCAAGAACTTCCTTCAATTCACTGCAAGGATGACATTAATTTATTTGGAATATTAAGGCCCAGTTCATTTTCATTACACGCAACCAATCTCGTCCAAACAGATTTGGACCTTGGCCTTTGACCACAAGTGCGGGTAAGTTATGCTGTTGGTTTCCATACCGTACTAGAACCATTACTTCGCCCGCTACTGGAATTCTCTCTCCGGTATAGGTGTTAAGAACCACTGTTGTCTTGCGAAGTGGTGTCAAATTCTTACTTAGTTTGTTGTATGTTTCTTCACTTATGATTGTCTTAGTAGCTCCAGTGTCTAATTCCATTCTTTTTGGCTGGCCTCCAAGGTCTACATCAATTGAAATCGATTTGTCTTTTGTTTTTTCTCGAATAATGTGCAGCGAATATTCTTCCTCTTGGGCACGCTGCGCATTAATCATTTTTACTTCCGTTTCCTGTTAACGTTTCCCTCAACTTCCGGTTTCGCGTCCCTGTAGAAACTCTGCTTGCTTTGTTCCTCGCCTTGTGCTACGAGAAACCTTTGCAATGTGGCCGATTTTATCTCAGTTAAAACATTTTAACTCGCGAAATTTACAAGAATTTGCTGCGTGTTTCGCCCCACAACGAAAACACGTCGGAGCGACTTCATTGGTAGGTAGGTAGGTAGGTAGGTAAATACTTTATTTAAACACACTTGCCTGGTCAACATGGTGCTTATTTCTACGAGGGGCGTCATACAAATAATACAAAGAAAATAATTAAGTTAGAAAGTTACGATTTAAAAATATTATATATAACTAATATACAAAAGTTAGGTTGGCACATATAGCACAGAATCATCGTCTAGCTTGCACCTATCTCTTTTTTAAAGCAGTTGACAGTATCCGTCGATTTGGCTGCAGACTAAATGTCATTCCATAACATAGCGCCACTGTACTTAAAGCTTCTTCTTAGATATTCTGTTCTAGGTTGTGGAAGAGTTAAATCATTTTCGCTATTTCTGAGATTATTGATATTTTGTGTCACATTCCTTTTGTGGAGAGATTCTTTCAGACCCTGAGGAGCGTGGTCATTTAGCTCTTTGTACATAAACACAGCCTTGGACTAATTTCTTCTGTTATCAAGTGTTTCCCAAGACAGGGTATTAAGAATGAAAAGTGACCTTACATCGTAAGTGGCACCAGTTATTACCCTTGCTGTGCGAGGCTGAAATTTTTGCAGTTTGTCTTGGAGCAATTTACCACAGTTTACCCATAGGGTGGAACAATAGTTAAAATATGGCTGCGCTAGTGCTTTATGTACTATTTAAAAAACGAGCAGGAGTGTTTTATTAGGTTTAAAGCCACGGGCGCGCAGCGCGAGTGGCTTTAGACCTAATAAAACACCACGACCTGCGAGTTTTTTAAATGGCTTCAAAAACGTATGCATAATAAGTCAAATTTTTATATAAAAATCTTTGTATAAAAATCTTTATATAAAAATCTTTACATAAAAATCTTTATATAGTTTGCATAACAATGATCTTTTGTCAAAGTGTTCTTTAGCTTGTACAGTGTGTATCAAAATAATTCAAATCCAAATTTTACAGACTGCTGTTTATAAAATACTAAAGTAAACCATATAATTTTTATATGGCAATAAAGAATAGCCTATCAGGTTTCCGATTATATCGTTCTTATATCAATAAGATAAAAAATGACCAAGAAATCGTGTGTTAAAAAACTGGTTGCTCGAAATCAAATTTTTCCGCCGATGGGAATTCGAAGTGAGACGTACAAACAAAAGATAATGCAAATTTAATTAATCAACAAACTGTTATGTAGCAAAATTTACATAAATTCGTGTTCATTTAAAGAGATTTAAGCTCCTATGCCTTCAACATGTTGAACGAGAAGAAATTCGCGTTAAATTTGCATTTTAGTTTTCAGTGATGATTAGCATTTCAAAGCCTTGTGGGACTAACTTTGAAAGAAAAAATGTCCAAGTCCCATCGGCGGAAAATTGTGATTTTTATGGACTTTTTTTGTCAAAGCAATACTCTTTCATTTTCCAACTAGATGACGCGTACAGCATGTCATTTGAAAGGTAAATAAATGAACTTAACAATGGTGTAAAAACCAACCGAATTTGTGAAATATATTCTGCGTTATTACACGCCAAATCTGGATTCGAATTATTTTGATACACACTGTATAAAGACGTATGAACGTGACTAATTTCTTACTCTTTGATTTGTAGTGTATTAATATCAACGTACGGTTTAGTGCGTTTAATAGCCCCAATACCGGAACTTGCCGTTTTACCTATTTTATCAATATATTTTTCACAGCTCAAATTTTCATCGATTTCTATTTCTAAGCTTTCAAAAGAATGAGTTATTGGAATTGGTTTGTCGCAAAAAAATACAGTAGCTTCACCAATCCTATTTTTAAGATTGTATGGTGATCCAATGAACATCAATTTTGTTTTAGTTGGATGGTGTTGTAACTTATTTTTGGTAAGCCAAGTGTGAATTTTTTCCGGATCATCATTTAGGTTTTTGATAAGTGTATCATAATCAAATGATGATGCAAAAATTTCAGGTCATTATCGTGAATTCGCCTCCCGAGTGTCCACGATAAGTCACAAAATGTTAATGCTAACTCGCAATTGTATAATCCCTTTAATAAACCTCAAACTTTAACAAACAAACAAAATCAACTCTCTCACGTTTAACGTTTTTAGTACGTTTTTCCCGTCGCCATCTTTGAACCATTACATATTTACTTACATAACGTACTTTTATCGTCTAGCCCGCGAACGGGCAATTTATCCATATCTATCCCTATTTATCCCTACACCAGTAAATCTCCAACAGTCATCAGCATAGAGACAAGGGGTTGTAGATTTTAGACACTTTGGCATATCATTAATATACAGTAAAAATCATTGTGGGCCAAGAATTGAGCCATGTGGGACTCCACGTGTTGTTTGTCTAGGAGACGATGTATGACCATTGAAAAAACACACTTGTTGTCTCTTTGTTAGATAAGATTCAAACCATCTTAGTTCAGCCCCATAAATTCCAAATTGCTTATTCATTTTTTTAGTAAAATAGAGTGGTCGATTGAGTCAAAAGCTTTTCTAATGTCAAGAAATACAACACCGTTTGACATGCCGTTGTCCATATTCTCTCACCACTGGTCGCACATTTGGATTAGTGCTGTCATGGTTGAGTGCTTTGGCCGAAATCCTGATTGATATTTGGAAAGCACTAAATTTTGATATAAATGTTCATATAACTGATCAAAGACTTCTCTCTCAAATATCTTTTGTATTATTTGGGTCGTCGATCGAAACTCCTTTGGCTTTGGCCCCCAAATCTTCGACATATTTTGATGCCGATTCCATAGCTAACGAAAGTTCAACTGCTTTTTTTTACCTTAGTTCAGGTTCTGCTAAGAGTCGCCTTTAAACCTTTTCGTTGTTGATACCACATACCAAGTGATCCCTATCATATCATCCAAGGAAGTGCCAAATTTGCAATGCTCGGTCATTCGACGTAATTCAGCCACGTACTTAGCAATTCCTTCGTCAACACGGCGAATTCTACTATGGAATTTAAATCTCTCGACAATTACGCTTGGTGTTGGAATAAAATGCTTTCAGAAGCTCTTTGAAAATTTCTTTTTATCTCCGTATCACCCGGTTTCTTTGGCTGTAGTAAATCTAGAATTAGTAGTGCGTATGTTTTGCGAGCCACATACGCTGAGAAATATTGCCCGCTGCTTTTTGGCGTTTGCCACTTCATTTGCTAGGAAATATTGTTCCAGCCGTTCGGTGCATTGGGTCCACCTTTCTTCTGCTTCATCAAACGGACCTACTTTTCCGTAAGTTGCCATTATACGTGTGTTTCGCATAAAAAAATCCTCGTCGCCAATGTTATAACCACTCAGTCTGTGTCTCAGTGCACGATGCCCAAACCCCGAAGGATTCTGGGACACTACAGAAAGCTTACAGTAGGCCACATAAAATATTTTTTTAAATTCTCATTACCGCCAGACTGTATTTTAAAAGACGTGCGAAGCCTTTTTTATATTTCGTTATTCTAAGTCTTTATATTAAGTCTTGAAAATTTTGTCTCCCCCCATCCCTCGGACAAATTTCCTGGAAAATTTCCTTCAATATCGGTCAAACTATTGTCCGTCCCACTTTTTTCCTCGCGTACACCTATGTTTATCCTGCTTAAGAGGCAGTCCGTGTAAAAACCGACCACTCGAATTTCTTAGCATTACAGATTTCCTTCAAACTTTCTGTGTGGAAGAAGTCATTCATAAAATGAACAAATAACGTTGACGTTGACATTATTTTCGGATGCGTTCGAAAACAAGTTAAAACGTTTATTACGCAAGTGATATTTGAGCTTTTTTATATCTCACAGTTCATCGCGCGCTTTTACTCTAACTTCTTGAAACTTACATATTTTATTATTTCCTGCCTAGGCATAAATCTAAACTAAAAATTATCCTAATCACTTGAAGCAAACAAAATATTGTGTATTTTTAAAAACGTCTTTCGGATAGCTGATTAAATATTCGTGTTAGTATCCTGGCGGTAAATTATTTTTTCTCAAAAGTGCAACGGTATCAGGTATCCAATCTTTTGCAGCTACTGAGTATTATGACACATCTACTGGAATAAATAATAAAATCTTTGGGCAGTGTGTTTTTCCCTTGACAAGCGCGTCATGAATATAGTCAATTTTCGCTAATTCGACTAATTATAAGCTATAATTTGTTCATGCATTTACTTAAATTTTTCGCGTTAAAAACATACAAAACTGTTTACTCTTTCAAATATGTCTGTTTTTTGGATAGAGAGTAAGTTATAAATATGCCAGCATTTATATATGCTTGAAATTTTACGTTTATGGGTATCATTAAATACTACATGCATGGTATATATAAACAAAAATGCATGTATAAGAAAAGTGCGGGAAAGGATATATGTGTGCCAATTTATACAAGTGCCTTGAAGGGGCACTTTTTCCTCATCATAGACATAGTGCAGATTTATTTTGCCACTATAAAATGAAACGAATATTTTATACATGTTTAATATTTTCATGTCTTTTAAGAACTGCAATGACATGCTGATCTCGGTTAAGGTCCTGTCACACTATTGCGTATAAGAGAAACGTATGATTAGCGTAAACCATCCATGTGCATGCATACGTCCGCATACTCGAAAAAATTTTAACCATGCTTACCTTGCATGGTTCCCCGATTTTTAAATAGTCACCTTACGATTTAGGACAGCAACGGCTACAAATACAATAAATAATTAAAAAGAATTCAATAATTGCAATATATGAATAATTTAGACATTTAGACGCCAAATCACAGATTTTCACGTCTTGATACAACAGCTGCATTTCAATCCGCAACAAGTGCAATTTCAAACTGGCTTCAGCAGAACTCTTCTCAAACATAAAACTACCCATTAAATTCATACGATTGTATTAAATTCATACGATTGCTAATATACCACGAATTGTCTTTAGGCCACTATTTGCTGTATATTAGTTTCTCATCCCCGTGCGCATGCCTTTTTAAGAAAATGGCCTTGTTCGCCATTCTTATTGCCATTTTTGACCATTATTATAAATTTTGTGATGTCTTCAAAGTGAAATTTGAAAGAAAGACAATTAGAAACGTTCCCAAACCAAATGTTAGTTAAAATACAAAATTTCATAACCAAACTCCAAATTTTTCCCGCATTACGTACACACTTATTAAATAGCCAAACTCAGCTATAAAAGTTCTACCGGAAGCCAGGGGCAGGGGAGAAAAACGCCAGACGTTCTGGGTGCAAAATTATGAAAACATGCTTTCAGTTGCACTTAATTACTGCTTTTGTGCTGTTTTTCAGGAAAGTTGCTATATAAATGCTTAATGCGCACTTTTACAAAATAAATTTTATGGGGAAGGGAAATCCAGCAAATAATGGCATAATGGTATTGGCCCGCCAGCCCGCATCCACCTTAGGAGAAGCTCCGGATGAGAAACTAATATACAACAAATACTGGGCTTTAATACTAACATTTATTTGAGCGAGTTTTTTTGGCCGTCGTCGTCGCGTTGCCGTCCTAAAATCGTAAGGTCTGTAATAACCCCTCCGTGCAATCGTTAAATCACTTGTCGTTAGATGCCTCTATATATACACCCTTTAGTTACTGCTTCGCTCTTTCAGAGAGATTACGACATGCAGTCTTGGTTCATTTATTTGTTTGAGAATAAGTTTCACTTTCACTTAATATATGCGCTTACTACATGTTTCGTCGGTTTTAATATAGCCTATAATAGCTCAAAGCAACAAGAAAGAAATTCGTTTTTTACATCAAAACGTTTTTGTATACCCAACCATGCATGTATTAAAGTTGATTGTTTATAGATTCTAATTTCGTACCTTGTCTCTCTATGCACATGAGTGCAATATAAATGTATAGTAGTATACTCATAGGCGTACGGGATTCATATATCTATTGGAGGAGCTGTGGTCTATATTGCCCGAAAATATTTGGGCCTTTTCTTGACTTTTCTTTGGGGGATTTTAACACCCCCCCCCCCGGCTTCAACCAGTTAAGATTGTAATGATTTTACGATATAAATATACTGCTAAGAAAGTGAAGAAAAACTTGAAATTACGCGTTGGCCGACTTCAAGCGATGACGGGGATTACATATATGAACCGCTTTTCACGCGAAAAACATTACTCTCTAATAAATTGTATAATATACTTTCTTCTAATATTCTCTTCTGATAGATGTGTACATTCGGAGGAACTCGGTGCATATAGTTTTAGTTACCAAGATCAGTATGTTTACAGTTCTTTCATACATGCACTGATAAATAATAAAAAGATAATACCGGCGGATAAAATTAGCAACGCGTGCATGTCAATTTCAGTCGGCACATGCGTCAGGACTTTTGCTTTATGTTATAAAGCTAGCATAAATGCTGGCATATTTATAACTTAGTCTCTATCCAAAACACAGCCATATTTGAAAGATAGTGAACAATTTTGTATGTTTTTAACGCGAAAAATTTAAGTAAATGCATTAACAAATTATAGCTTATAATTAGTCGAATTAGCGAAAATTGACTATATTCATGACGCGCTTGTCAAGTGAAAAACACACTGCCCAAAGATTTTATTTTTTATTCTAGTAGATGTGTCATAATACTCAGTAGCTGCAATAGATTGGATACCTGATACCGTTGCACTTTTGAGAAAAAATAATTTACCGCCAGCATACTAACACGAATATTTAATCCGCTGTCTGAAAGACGTTTTTAAAAATACACAATATTTTGTTTGCTTCAAGTGACCAGCATAATTTTTAGTTTAGGTTTATGCCTAGGCAGGAAATAATAAAATATGTAAGTTTCAAGAAGTTAGAATAAAAGCGCGCGATGAACTGTGAGATATAAAAAGCTCAAATATCACTTGCGTAATTAACGTTTTAACTTGTTTTCGAACGCGTCTGAAAATAATTGCGAAAAATTTTTTAAAACCGACTACAATTTCAAAGTCAACGTTTTTTGTTCATTTTATGAATGACTTCTTCCACACAGAAAGTTTGAAGGAAATCTGTAATCTTAAGAAATTCGAGTGGTCGATTTTTACACGGACTGCCTCTTAATACCGAAAAGGTCGTAAACAAAGTAGTTCTATAATTAGCGGTGCAAAGCTTCTACATTTCGGCCACGCGACACAAGTTGTAATTAATCTTGACTAAAGCAGGGAAGCTGCTGGACATTGTTGTATTTATGTCTCGATATTGAGTGATTTTAAAATATGACGACACATGGTTCCATAACATTTTCGAACAAATTCTGTTTCGAAAGAATATTTAAATATGCGAAGTGTGAGCAACGTAACGTTTCGAAACAACCTGAAACAACCAAGGTCGGACCGATCAACAGGAAGAGAAGGACATGTACTATTGGGTTTAATGATGGGATCGGCTTTTTGAGGAATTGGAAATTGACTTAAAAAGGAAATAAACTTGAGTTAGTAACGACGTACGCTGTATATTGTTGCATTTAAGTTAGAATCTGCACGAGATAGAGTGATTTTACAATACTAGAAGTTACTATCGCAAGGAAAGTGCTGCCTCACCCCCAAGGGTCAAAGGCAGCATGTAGAATTTGCTGAATAAGGGTCAGTTTATATGATCCTGCTTTGCCGTATTACTTGTAAAATAAATTACTGTGCACGGTTCAACAAAAAAACTACATAGTTAACTGTAAGCTAAAGGTTGTCCAAGGAGCAATAATAATCTTTTTGAACTACAACATTTGAATTCTGTTGACTTATTTCAATACATTGAAATCACCCCGCCTTCCAATATTTACAGTAAACAGCCCCTAAGACACCTGTTCATGAGGTAGGAAATGTGCAACTAGGATATCAAACACCTTGCACAAAGTCAAAGGTCAGCTAAATATTCTAATTTTACTTTCTTGGCATTGGCAGTTTTGTATGAATACCTTCAATGCTTATAATTTCTTGTTTTTGTATATATAATACAATACTGTCTGTGGCAAAGCTAGCCATACCAAAAGGTCATAAACCATGCAAATTTGTAATTATTTGCATTATTCAAATATGCAGGTTTATAATATACCAGTTGCCATGCTAGCTAGCCACTGAATACTGTATAATATGATATACACAATGTGTCTCAAAATAAGTGAACCTTTCAAATTTGACAGCTCTAATTGCTTTGAATTAATGATTGGGTAAAAACACAAGGTCTTGTACTCATGGGACAAAACTCAAAGAAATAAAAATTAGAAAATTTAAAAGAAATAGAGTATGCCTTGTGTTCTTACCC